GCTTGCGTACGTGCCTGTACAGTGTATTTCACCTTCTTTACTCTCTCCAGGGAGGTGAGACAAGTCCCTGCTCTGCGCTGGTGAGTTCATTGCCGGACTGTACACACTGTCAGTGGACGCTCTTGAGTTATGATAATTTAACAGTAAACTAACACTTCAAACGCGCTCCAAAGCAAGCTTTGTAGAAAGACGTGATCAAATTTCCCATTTCAATATAAGTCTATCGTATTATTCATACTACATGTATATCCAAACCTGAGCCCCTTGTGTTCGAAAAAATCAAATTTAAATATAAGCAGGAAAAAATATACATCCAACTTTAAACTAGTGAAACGTAGATATGTTATTGGTGTTACGCATCGAATGTTCAGGACAAGATATTCCAAGAAGCGTGACTTTCTTCTTAAGACGCCATTCCGTGCAAAAATGTTGAATAACAAAGATTGCTACCAAAATAGCGATACTCATTTTAGTAAGCCCATCAGACTAAAGACTTCTATCAACGAGAAAAAACATAGATTGAAAAAAAATGGGATAACAAGAAAACAAAAATCAAAGCCTCGAAAAGATGAATTGTACAGCCCTTTCTCGTGTAATCCAACCCAATGTATTCTTTTTCTGTATAACTTAAAGAAGGGTACATAGGGGACGTGTACGCTTTGTATGATAGCCGATATAAAAGTTGTTACTGTTAGCTTGGCAGATTTTAAGGGACTTTGTAGCATTGTTCAGGTGAGAGAAAATGGTGTTGAGGCAGTGACTTCAATAAAAGATGTAAAATTAAAGATAATCTGAAATTTTGAGTGAAAACAGACCATCATTAATTTCTATTTATTTATTATTAACATTTATTTCCTTCTCAACAGCACAATATAAAACACAATGTATATATACATGATTATGTAACAATTATTTCAACATAGAGTATACAGTAAATAATTCAGATACGGAAGGAGGCGAAAACCCGGAAAGTGTAGCTTGAGTTGGGAACGCCCATAATAAATTAACACAGTTACCGAAAGAACATTATAGATATTATTATGAAAATTACATTGTATATAACAGAACGTTGATAGGAAAGAAAAAATAGTGAAAGGAAGAGAGGAGAGAATTAAGTATAGGAAGGCATGTTCACTTATAAAGAGAAAGTTACATCAATTGGGCTGTACATGTGTCTGCGATTACATCATAAAGATAACGAAGTACAATTGTAAAATAGACAGCGGGTACATATCATTAAAAACAAGCAAAATCATCAAACAGACAACAGCTTTATCCGACAGCATTGTCCTGGGAATATACAGATGGTACTATAGCAACAAGTTATCAAAATAAATAAATAATCGGTCATACAAACATATCATTAAATTCCACAAAAGATCATTAATGATAAAAATTGGGGAAAAATGATCTGATCGATTCCTTAATTCTCCCAACTATACTATTACAATTTAATTACAGGTGAATGTAAATCGTCGCAAAGCAATGAATTGGCTCTATATACCATTCCAAACATTTAAATGTTGAAAGAATTTAAAAGCCTGTCTTATTAAGTCTTATTTTCTTTGAAAAACTTTTGGAAAAATTCAAAAATGGTTGGAAGAATTTACTGTAAGAGGAGTCGCACAGTGACGCCTTGTTTGAGAATTCTTCCAGATTTTGTGCATGTTAGAGGGTTAGTACAGTAGAAGGAATATAATACATGTAAATAGCATTTTATACCAAAATTACGCAGTTTTATCATCAACCTTTAACAATGTTACCCAGTCACTGTAGGATGCTATTACCGAACAAAAATAATCCCTATACCTTTGAGACTAATCTGGTACACTTATGAAATTCGTCAACTTCTACTTGTTTTCGTTCCATCAGGCTCATAACTCGATTTATAAATAGAAAATATCATTAAAAGAAATGCAAAAGTGATTCAATCTTGAAGAAAATTGTACCTTAGGGCGCGATTTACTGCTCATCTCATGAGAGCGTATACTGTGGGGACAAACAATGCCATCGTGATATTGTTTACTCACTGTTCGACGTAACAGAGTCCTACATGTACGCTTAACCTTCGAGCAAACTTTTTCTTTTAAATTGAGCCGATGCTTGTTTGTCAAGCTGTTATAGCTCGAAGTATTATGCTCATGGCTACTTTGTGTTGTTCTATTCAACGATTTGACTACTTGACTACAAGTACTTTAAGTACTTTACCGTAGTACCTCTTTTCTTCCTTATATTTTTCTTCTCTTTTTTCGATATGTTACATTCGTTTTCTTTATCCTTGCTCATCTATTTTAACGAGTCAAAAACCAGCCTTAAAATGTGTCATTTAAGCATAAATTTATTTAAAAAAGCAAATGAAAATGATATACTTGTTAATGTCTTTGGGGAGAATGAATTTAGTCCTTTATAATTTTCACTTATAAATGGTCATTCAAAAATGTATCTTTTTCATATTTATGAGCAGGTCTAGCACCAGTGGTTAATTTTTTGATTTGGTTTGGTTTTAATTTTCGTATTTATGCGTATGAAAATTAACAAATAACTTATTATTTTTGAAAAGGATGCGGCTAGATTTCTCTTTTCAGAGCCGTTATTTCAATGGGTCTGTTCTTTGTAGAGGTCCAGACGTGTTCTATAGAAGAGCTTGGAGTGGCTCTCCCCCCCCCCCCAAAAAAAAAAAAAAAACTTCAACCCCCCCCCCTACTCCCCCCCCCCCCAACAAAAGAATAGCTTTATTATATATGTAAAGTCACAACAGAACCCTCAAAGCCCCCAACCCCCAGAGCCCTCTCCATTCCCTGGATTAAAACCCTCTAGAACCTCTACTGATGCCTAGATGAGATGGATTCACTATGCTTCGTTCTCTTTACATAATCAGATGAGCAGCCATCTAACTATCCTTCTGCGTGCGCGGCTAGCCATTGTAGCATCCCGTGTGAAGAAAGCAAAGTCTGTTACAAGCAGTGTCAGTTAGCTGAATTTAGGTGACACAAATCTGACAAGTTTGAGCTAATCTCAATATAAAAGTACATGACTTGGGTCATGACGGCAGGACACTCAGAGCTCGATATTATATCCTCTTTCTATCAGGAGAGGCTAAGGGCTCTGTTAACTGAGTAATTTGACAGGGCTGACAGTATGGCATGCACGTATCCCATTGCTGCGAACCCACAAATAGCCGTCGTATACCCCGCCCCCCCCCCCCCACACACACACACACAATACCAAGGACCGGGGGAACTCAATACAATGTGTAGTGATCATACTGGCTTTGCCCGTGTACATTCAAAACGCCCCCCCCCCACCCACTCCCCTCTAAGGAGAGTTCCTCTCCCGCTTGTTTATTAATGTGTCGATACGCCGTTGGCATTTTCATCACTACCCCCAGGGACTCGGTATATATATCTCTCTCTCTCTCTCTCCCCCCCCCCCCTCTCTCTCTCTCTCTTTCTCCAAGTGGGTGCAGAGAGTGTACATTCTAACCATTTTCTGCCTGTAACGCCCAAGCTCTAAGGGGGTTGTATGACGCGGAGCAAGGAGAGAAACGAAGGACATGAGCTCTCATGGTCATCTTCACCGTCCATTGACATGAAGAAACTGAGCCAAGTCGGGTCGAGTGCCCTCCTGTGAACATGACTCTGTCGACGTCTGTCTTTGTAACCTTGTCCATGCATTTTGACTGATTTTGTACTGATTTGAGTGTGACGACAATGGATATGATAATTAAACTTCTTAGAAATGCAGGTGCCCACGCAAAAAGGTTTCCATAATAAAATCCTTGCAAGATTATCGTGAGTTCGGCTCCCTCATTACTTCTCATACTTTTCCTTGTCTATCGCCACGCCCCTCAGCCCCCCCCCCCCCCCCTCCTCCTCCTCTCTCTCTCTCTCTCTCTCTCTCTCTCTTCTCTCTCTCTCTCTCTCTCTCTCTCTCTCTCTCTCTCTCTCTCTCTCTCTCCCTCTCTCTCTTTCGTATCTTAATGTCAATATCTTTCTCTAATGTTTCTCCTACCTAGGCCCTGTAATAAATTATAGACTGTTACAATTACTGAATCTCAACCACATCATTTGTATATAATCGTACCTTTACCAATATCAACTTACACTCGTCTTTTGTTACAGGAAGATGGAATTCAATCACTGTAAGATACAATCGATTATAGCAATACTAGATATATATTTACAGTTGTCCATTTAAGTCGATTTTGTGTACCAGTGCTCTTTTCTGTCAATTACCATTTAGTGGTTTACATTATTTTGGCATGTGAGGGTGCACATGCCCCCGGGCAACAGGGAAGAATTTCGCTTTTGTGCACCCTGACCCACATGCTATTCCTTCTTTATCTTACTTTGTATTTTCCTATTTCACTCTGTATACACCTATATACACTGTACATGCTGATTGTGTTTTTATGGTCGAATAAATAATAATAATAATAATAATAATAATTTTACATCCTTACTATAAATCAAGATGAATTAAAAGAGGAAAAACTTTGGACGAATATCTGAGACGATAGGTTGGGGCACTGATGAATATCAAATATTATTCTAATGACAATAAATCTTTTGGGGTATAAATAGATCCAACCTGAGAGTGAGGATGATAGACTTTGCCAGTAGTAGTGAATAATTTCCTCAGAAAGAGAAGTAAGAATGATGTAGTAAGACAAATTGATTCCTGCTAACGATTTACCATATTATAGTTGGCGCGCGCAGGTGAATAATACGAGAGCTTATGTCTATTTGCACGCCCATCATTACGCAAACATAATACGAACACAGTCATCTCTCCTTGCTCACCGCAACGCATAGCCCTGTTGCCATACACAGCACTTAACATCGAAACGCTGGCCGCGGCGTCTCGTACAGGCACTCGGCATCGGTGATGGTGGGATATTAATTAGTGAGTGCCAGCATTCCAATTCCATAAACATGTTGTTTTAGGTCAGTCGCCATTCGGTAATTTTCTTTTGCTATCCATTTGCCATTTTGAATCAGGGACAAATCTGGGAGAGCAGGAGGCCTTGGCGCATGCACTCAACAAAATTACTATCTTCCCAAACATGTCAACAAGGTGAGTACTGATTGTCATTCTAACTTTAGGTACAGTCGTCTGATAACAGTCTTTATGGTATTTTCATCTCAATATTTGAATAATTCTTTGTCAATTTTACTTATAAATCAACACTGCCATGTATATTATTATTATAATAATAATTCATACAAAAACTAGCTATTTAAATAAAACCGATTTATTCAAGGCTATTCGCATCAAAATACTGCAACCATTATACTTCAGGAACGATCATACCCGATCATGTTTGTAGTGTTTTTAGTTTTCTCTCCTTAGTTGATATGATATAATGGTATGATTGAAACAAACTTTTATAAGGTTCATGAGTTCTTTTATTGTTATCTGTTTCACATTTAGCTGTGGACCTACATATAAATCTAATCCAATTCCCATACATGTGAATGTGCGAACTTATGAAGTAATGTTCATACATGAAGGCATTCAGCTGCATTTATCATTTTTACCGAGAAAAACAAAATTATTGATAATTTAAATGGATTCATAGAGAGAATACCTTTTTCAACTTAGTATTTTTTTTCTTCTTTAAATTCCTACATCACTTTTTCATCACACACCAATGAATAACCATTCTTGACACTGCACACACTCTATCTAATACATGGAAGAAGAAACATGACGAATATATATAGACATAATATAGTGATAACCCTTTTGACGCCTGCCAAGATCTATTGTTTAATCTCAACTATAAATATACCCGACGACGTGTTGGAAGATCCATAAACGGTTTACTATTTAAGTAGTGATCAAGATGTAAAGAATCTTATCTTTATATTCTTCACACGATCATGTCAAATGCCAACACCGCTTATCAGATGATTCGATTTAAGACTTGTCATTCTACGCTGATGTTTGTCGAGAGAGAATATAAACTTGACCTACAGAAATTTTAGATTGACGAGAGCTGTGTCTCAATTTATTTTATTTGTAAAGAAAAGTTCGATGAAGATAGCTTGTATCAAAGTAATATCTGTCAGTGAATGTTGTAGTCTACATGAACGTAGAGAGAAAGGGTACCAGTACATGCAGGCGCGTACGCAGGATTTTTTCAAGGGGGGGGGGGGGTTAACATTTATAAATCGGGTCGAAAATTTCGCAACGACTCAGCCAGCCGCTGAATAAGCGGGGGGGGGGGGGGGGGGGGGGGGGTAAGAGGACACTTTTTTTTTTTTTGGTCTCGAAATTTGAAAAATTGACATTTTGCTCCGTTGGGGGGGGGGGGTAAGGTCAGCTTTTTTAGGTCAGCCATGGGAATTTTTTTTTTTTTTTTTAATAAATAAAAAAAAAAAAAAAATCCAAAGGGGGGAGGGGGGGGGGGGTTTACACACAGAAAAATACCAATACCCCCCCCCCCCCCCTGTGTACGCGCCTGAGTACATGCAATGTATAACGAATTAGTCAACAAAATTTCTCGGTCGTGCGCTTTGTGTATCTTTAATTTACCTGCAGTGTCCATACCTTGGGAGGCTACTTGTGGAAGGAGAGCTTCGTATAGTTTCATCCTCTTGTTTTGTGTTTCTTTTGCAAACTTTGTGATATTTGTTATTGACATCTGTACATTAACCCGAAAAAGAGTCTGACAACACACAATATTCCATGTATTGTGATGGTGTTTTTCACGTTCACGGACGTTTGCTTTGTAGGGGGCAAAGGTTCGTATACTATTTTAATAGAGATTCATCATTGAACTCTCGTGTACAGAGATCTATTATTTGTGGCTATTATCAATATAGTCATCCCTTTGTATTGATATCAAGGATGACTGACTAACGAATACTACTCGGGGAGTGATATGTGTGTATACGGGATACTTTAATTACCAATTTACATATTAAGTTTCGGCTGTGCAGGAATCAAATGTTATTGTAAGACTTTGACAGGATATCCGTGATACAGTTTATTCTTCATATGCCTACCATTCTCATGTGAGGATTAATTAACATGAATGACATGACCTGTCATGTGAAAATCTCTGTTAACTTTTTGATAACTTTATAATATAATTATTGTTTGCTTGCTAATACAAAAATATTTCCCCAAATCTAACCATGCACGATCATGATTTCTTGAAGTTTTGACCCGTTGCAGTGGATAGTAGCATGTTAATATAATGATTACCAGTTAGATGTATTCGAAATGAATAGTCTCGAAATTGCGTTTTGTACTTTTTGTTTTTGTCATCAAAGTAAATTATGATAACACAGGTGTGAACAAAATAAGAGATATATACATATGTTTGTATTAGATTAAAGGGATAGAACTAGTTAAGTTCTGGTTTCAGACCGCAAATGTCCTTAAAGTGCATGGTTATTGCACTTATTCTTATTTATGACATTTCTAGTGCCCTTTTAGGACCTAAAATTGCTATTACGGTAATTTTAGAGCCCAAAATGTGTGAATTTTAGCCAATGCGATCTTACCAATTCAGCTCTACTTTACAAAAAATATGGTGACGGTTAATTAATTAATTAGTTAGTAATAACAATACATAGACCGGCTGGCTGTGCGTATTATAACTAAGACGAAAAAGCCAACAAAAAGCCAACATCGGCATTGGCTGGAATAAAACGTATAAGGCGCTATTTCGTTTTTGCAACGGCTGTTTTTCAAATTATCTAATACTCGTGGTGGTACACAAATATTAGAAATGGTTATATTTATGGATATTTTAGCCGTCTCTGAACCGATTTTGATCAAACAAAGAGGAATTTGTAATTTAACTCATCTATCCCTTTAGCCTCAATCGATATAAAAATGCTTTTATACAATTTATGTAGGCCCAGCTTCCTCCATAGAGAATCATTACCCACACAGAAGAATGCAACTATAAAAAAACAAATTATAAAAAAAAAATTGTTTCCGCCCGGGTTCGAACCGGGGACCTTGCGCGTGTGAGGCGCACGTGATAACCACTACACTACAGAAACCTGACGGTCCATTATCGATCTTTACACAATTTGTTATTATAGCAACAAAATTACTGTTGTCACAAGATGATTGGGAAATGTACCTTCCAATAGGTTAAATGTTAGTGATCGCAGTGGAACAAAAAGCTTGCGAATTTTTAAATTTTATTTATTATCTCTTAACTATCGTACTTCTAGGGTTGTAACATGTATTTCTCATATAGTGGACTCTGAGAATTGGTCGACGGAGAATTAAAGTAAGAAATGTTTTTGGCAATCGATGCTCTTGTTAAAGACAGTTTGTCCCTTTTGCAGCCAACATCAAATTCTGTAGAACTTTGCAGGAATTATGAATATGTCATGTATGTCCTATCTGTTAAATTTAAACATTAGAAGCGTCCTAATATTCAAATTATGCAAGGAAACCCGTTTCCTTGCTAGACTTCACTGTCAGACACTATTGAGTGACTGACTTGCTTTTTTCTCCTTTGGTTATGACATACATAAAATGAGCAGTAAAGGGTACATTAGCATTTGTCTACATCAATAACCAACTTCTTGTAATGGCCAACATTAAACTGATTGAATCTTTGCGCAGCATAAAACGTACGACCATTCGGTACAATGGTCTGAAAATCAAAATATTACTTATTAGTTCTATAGCTCTTAAGTAGATTCGACAACTAATAGTCGTTATTTTCCCACTTAAAGACATTTTCAACCCCCCCCCCCTTTTTTTTTTTTTTTTAGGGAAGTTCTAAACTAATATTATCTTTCAAATGCCGTTGGAATTTATCGTTTTCATTGTTTTGGCCTGCAAATCGGACATAGTACATTTAATGCATTGAATTCAAAATATTCTCATTGGCTGCATCAGATGAGGGTGCAAACTTTATCTTATACAGTTTTAAAAACTTTTTTTAAATCATCGACAAAAATAGTTTCCGCCCGGGTTCGAACCGGGGACCTTGCGCGTGTGAGGCGCACGTGATAACCACTACACTACGAAAACCCGATATGATGAGTTGATAGTTAGAAAATCTACAATAATAGCTTGTTGTTCTTTCAAGATTCAAAACATCAATTTAAAGATAAAAAATGGATTCTGTTTATTCCTTTGAAATCCTTTTTTATGATCGACAAATTTATGAACGATTTAGATAAGACAGAAACTACATTAGCAATTTTTTCAAAAACTTTTAATTTAAAAAACTGTGACCAATTTTGATCATTCAGGAAAAAATGGTTTCCGCCCAGGATCGAACCGGGGACCTTACATCTTAAACTCAGGGATCAAAAACCTTTTAAACCTTTTTTAAAATCATCGACAAAATTGATGATATAGAAACTATGTTAGCAAAAATAGTTTCCGCCCGGGCTCGAACCGGGGACCTTGCGCGTGTGAGGCGCACGTGATAACCACTACACTACGGAAACCCGATGGTATATAATTAGTTTGAATCTCTAGAATAATAGCCTGTTGTTCTTTCATAAACATACGATCATAATTTGGGTTTTGGTTATAAGGGATTGGATTCATTAACAAATAATAATAATTGACTAAGGCGTGCTGAGAGTCACATGTACTGCTTAAAAATATGTTAGCATATGGGACTACACAAACATGTTGCAACTGTTTGGTCCAAACATTTTAGCTATACTTCGTCGTATTTAGAATAAAGGGGATTTTGAAAAGTAATCCTTTAAAAAAATAGAATTAAAAAGCTTACACATTATTTTCACCAGTACTACGTCAATTTGCAGCCAACAAATTCTGTAGACTTTGCAGAAAATTATGAAAATGTCAGGTATGTCCTATATGTGAAATTTAAACGTTAGCAGTGTACCAGTATTTAAATTATGCAAGAAATCCCGTTTACTCTCTAGACTTCACTGTAAGACACTGTCAGTGACTGACTGAAATCTTTTTTTTTTTCTTTGGTAATAACATACTTAAAATGAGCTGTAACAGGTACATGAGCATTTGTCTGCATCAATAACCCACTATTTGTGATGGCCAAAATTAAACTGATTGAATCTTGTAGCCTACAGCACAAAACGTACACTATTCAC